AAATCCAACTTGCTTTCTTTTGATTTGACAGCTGAAGAGGCCAATAAGAGCTCAAGTCCATGCTTTCATTCAAGAAATAAGTTAGCACAGTACGACTGAGCACCGCTGGAGTTTAACTGGTAATACTATCTGACCTAAAACACTACTCCCATCAACACCTGTGCATTATGGCTTCTGGTATTCTGAAGTTCATTCCCTTATGCCTTATTTCCAGAATTTCAACATCTAAATAGTTCTAACATACTGTATGTGACTGATCCCATACCACCTGAAAAGACCACTTAACCACAAAGGGTTTACATGCCATTTTGATGTGAAAACATATATATCACAACAAATAAATGGCATTGGTCCATTTATCATAAAATTAATGTAAAATGTGGAGGTGCCATGTTCAAATGATGTAGAACAATAAAAATTATATTTCACATATTTGGATAGGATGTATACATGTATTTAACTTTGTTTGGAATTTTGATGCTAAGACATCACATATATTGAAATACTGGCCAATTCAATTTATTAATATAGGTGCACTTTTATTTTTTTCCAGTTACAGATTGTAGTCCATCTATTTTTTTCTGCATATAACCACCACTGAGAAGGCATTATTCGGGTGGTGGATCATTCTCAGCTTTGCAGTGACACTGGCATGGTAGCGATATGTTAGGTTACCTAATAAAGTGGCCAGTGAGTGTGTGCTGCACATAAATGTACATGTATGTACATTTTTCCAAGTAAAGAAAAAAAAAAATAAATAAAAATATATATATATATATATATATATAAACAATTTTTAGGCACAGCTACATGGTATCTACACATCGTTCATTTTATCAGGTCCACTTACCATATAGGTGCACTTTGTAGCTTCCCTTCATTTGCAATTTCAGTGCTATGATGCTACATATACTGACCCCCCCTTATACAGTTGTGTGCAAAGTTTATATGCAAAAAAAAAAAATTGAATATTAAATATATGAATATTTGCATTAAAATTGGCAGCAAATTGTCATTTATAAGTGTGTTCCCTGTACAGGATGTATTACTTTGTTTACACGTAGAAAATCATCAAGACATGTAATTTGCCTGGGGGTGCCCAAACTTTTGTATATGACTGTAGATTTTGCCCCTATACAAGTACTTTTTTCTGAAAGTTGCCATGAAGTCCAATTTAAAAAGTGCTTCTCCCATGAATCTAAATGAATGTCGAAGTCTAAGCGTTTCCAACTCCACAAGATAGGCCTCGGCAAAAAAGAACTGGCCAGAAACTGTTTACCTGTATGTTGAGTGGCAGTCTCTGTCACACCAGCCAAACAGACCTGTTGCACAAGCTCCGCTACTCCCCCCTGACCTCGAATATTATGGGATGTTACACATTAGCAGGTCTGCAAATACAAACACCAACACAGCGACTCTCACCACGGGCTTTCAAGTCCAATGTCTACAATTTATCAAAAACAAATAGTCTCTGTGTATGCGTGACCCTAAGTGAAAGCGAGTGCATGCTGGCAGGTGGGAACGCGTGGATAACGCTCACAGCTCGGACTAAAGCTTTTTTGGTTTTTTAAAAAAAAACCCTTCTGGTGGCAACAGCTTCTCAATGGGCTTTCACCACGGCCTTCATTTCCACTTCAAACGGCCAGGGAAAGGGATCCTACCCGTGGGGTAGGGGGGTAATGAGCACCACTGCTTTCTTCTTTCAGTCTATTCCTCTGGCTTTCTTTAAAAGAGGAAGGAAAGTCCCTGGTGCTTTAATGATCCACCTTTAAACAGACACATGGCTTCTCCTCCGAGCTACCGGACAATTACAACACTATTCTATCTTGTCCCGTTCTCAAGCTCACTTACAAGGCCATTAACATTCACTTTATAATAGGCCTGAACGGTAGAAGAAGAGGCTGCTTTGAGTGATGCTTTGCCTAAAATAGGATTCAAAACCTTAAACATCAAGGTGTACAATGGGCCTTTATTCTCAGGGTTCCTGATGGGCAGAATAATGAAGGCTGTTTCTGTATAAACTAAGCGATCTCTCGGCACAAACGCAGCAGTGTCGGACAACCACTCCAACCTAGAACCGGTCGTGTCAACGGCACTGATCTTGGCAGAATCTGCATGACAAATATCTCTTTGTGTGGGTTTGGGAGGCAGCAACATTTGAGATGTGACTGGAAAAGAAGACTTTTGTTCAATTCCTGTCTTATTAGCAAAGCACAGTACATCAAAACAATCTGGCTTGAGTGCTCAGAAGGATGGATGATTCTTGAGAAGCCTCAGCCTCGGCATTTATGGTAACAGGTGTCACAGGAGTGGTTTCCATTTTCCAGTCCTGCAAATTTTTCCCTGCTTTCCAGACTCCAACACACTTGACCCAGTTCACAAAGGGCTTGATAATTAGCTGATGAGTTACTAGGCATGTTTGATTGAAAAAAACAGAAATGGGAAGCCAGAGCTTGAAATTGTGCCATTTTCAATTGTGCCAAGTGGTACATTTTCAGGGAGCTGTAAGGCTAAAGCCTTCAGACGTACCACTGTTTTACTACCACTATTTTACTATTCTTAACAATACATATGAAGTCAGAAGACACATGTAGATGGTTTGAATACAAGACATGGTTTTGAATAGCAGATAAATGGTTATATTTGCACTAAAGACCTAATGACCTCTGGTTCCTGTCACCGCCACTGTAAAGAAATCTCAGCAACTAACCAATTTAGCAAATAGCAAACCACTCTGAATGACTTTGTTGAATTTTGCAGCAATTCCTGTTTAACTGAGGAAAAAAACGTAGACCAATTCTGCATTCAACTTGGTTCGGAAGTAGGAAGTTGGAGCTCAAATGTGTAACTTTAACATTGATTTGACATTTGACATAATGTATTTACAATCTCAAAACAGTGACCAATTATGCTGACTGATCTACAGCAAGTATCATTTAAAAGGCTTTCCGAATAGGAATTCCAATCTGAGGGGGCGTTTTCCTTGATTTTTCCTAGTCGGATGTGGGAAATTTCAAGTTACGACCTTCAAGACTGGAGACAACTGTCTCAGAGGTTTACTAATTTAGAAATACTTAATCATTTGATTTATTGCTTACTTTAAAGCGTGACGTATATACACCTTTAAATTATGTAGAGGATAAATAACACTAACATTAACCAGCCTAATGATGACTAAATCTGTTAACCAATCTAAACAAGTGTGCTTGAACCCTCAGAAAAAAAACAATAACGTTAATCAGCCTAATATGGCCATAACTGTTAGCTTCTACATTTAATCATACACCAATCAGGCATAACATTATGACCACCTCCTTGTTTCTACGCCCATTGTCCATTTTATCAGCTCCACTTACTATATAGGTGCACTTTGTAGTTCTACAGTTACAGACTGTAGTCCATCTGTTTCTCTGCATACTTTCTTAGCCCCCTTTTACCCTGTTCTTCAGTGGTCAGGACCCCCATGGACCCTCACAGAGCAGGTACTATTTGGGTGGGGGATAATTCCCAGCGCTGCAGTAACACTGACATGGTGGTGGTGCGTTAGTATGTGTTGCTGGAGTTTTTAAACACTGTGTCCACTCACTGTCCACTCTATTAGACACTCCTACCTTGTCAGTCCACCTTGTAGATGTGAAGTCAGAGATGATAGCTCATCTGCTGCTGCACAGTTTGTGTTGGTCATCCTCTAGTCCTTCATCAGTGGTCACAGGACGCTGCCCACAGGATGCTGTTGGCTGGATACTTTTGGTTGGAGGACTATTCTCAGTCCAGCAGTGACACTGAGGTGTTTAAAAACTCCTGTGCACTGCTGTGTCTGATCCACTCAGACCAGCGCAACACACACTAACACACCACCACCACGTCAGTGTTACTGCAGTGCTGAGAATGATCCACCACTTTAAACAGCAAAACACTCTGAAAGACTGATTACCGATTGAATTATGCAGGAGTTTCAAAACCTCTTTAAAGGTAAAATATGCAGAATGCTCTGTTATGGTTTAATGAAATATTGTGAAACATTAAGAGCAATTACTCATAGTGTGTAGGGAAAAGGCCTCATTTCTATAGGAGTTGAATCAAGTGGTTGCCTTTGATGTGTCCACAAATCATTTGTCTAGCACTGAGACAGCAACACAGCCTACAGGAAAAAAATGACTTACTGCACCTTTAAATGAGGGAAGTTTTTTGGAGCTGATCTTTCAACAGTTACTAAATTAATTACACATCTTTCGAGCAGCATAAACAGGAGTTAGCATGCCCAGACTTCACATCATTTGTACCTCTCGGCTAAGTACACGACTTAGCATAGGTTGTTTTTGACACAGGCGCCAAATGTGTATGCACGCTGCTGGTGTGTAAACTTAAAAGCTGAAAACAGTCGAGAATTAATTGAGCTTTATAGCAACTGGTACATGTGGTTTATGCACCACATAATCCAGGCTACAGTCGCCAAGACAAACAAGGCTTTTTATGGCCAAATGTAACAGTGGTTTTGGATCCAGAGACTGAATGCTGCCAAGCCATGGACGAGGTCAGTACAATTAGACATACAGCGCACGAAAAGAAAACACAATAAAAATAGATAGAATAAATATTTACATTTCGGACAAAGACCTCATCAGGAAGGTATTTTTGACGACGGTTTACATAACAGACCCCTTTTTCTGGATGCATATTCATCCTAATTTTGGACTAAACTGCACTGACAGTAGAGATTCACAGCTGCAAATCCTTTTTAGTGTAGGATCAGACTTAATCTGTGTCTGGGAAACTAGCCTAGTATGGCTAAATCCATTAGCTTTAGAGTTGACTTTTAAAGGGCCTATATCATGGAAAAAGCACATTTTTCTTGCTTTTTTTTTAATAAAAGCATTTAAAAAGTCATGTTTTCAAAACTGAAATGGAAAGTAAACTACAAAAACAGCCTCTTTTGAATCGATTGGTTTTGTGATGTCAGGAAAACCAACACATATATCTGCCTATTCAGCCTACAGCAGTTTAGCCCCACCAACTCCAGCCCCACCCACTCCAACCCCCACTGAAGATATAAGCAGTGTTTCAGCAAGGACTGCTTTTTGAACAAGGTACTACACTGCACAGCCAATCAGAGCACATATTATGAATATATCAGTCTTAAAGGCACAGTAACAAAAACAATCTGTGAGACAACTATTTTTTCGTACATTAAACTGTACAAATGTTATAAGGGACCTCAGGAAAATAAACAAATTACAAAGAAAATGTAGAATATGGGCCCTTTAAAATGAACACACCTAAAAAGCTTTAAAAAATCTATTGAAAAAAGAAAAAAAGCAAACTGAAAACTCTGTGTCCTTTTCCTGCCCTCTGTGCATCGCCACAAAAATCTATCATTTCATCCAGTGCAAACAATCGTTCTTGAGGTTAATCGTAACTCGGCATTGAATCCAGAACTTCATAAACACCTCAAAAAGCCACAGAAGTCACAGCTGCCCTTGAGGACAACCAGTGGTTCTCAAAAAAAAAAAGTGACCTAGCACATCGGTGAACCTGACCAGAGGCCTGGACAGAATCGCACCGATCACATCATTCTCGAACCCAACCTAGCCAAGGCTGTGATCAGCTGACAGCAGTCTTGTGAAATACAGAAAGAATTAAAATAAAAAAAGTGGCCCTCGGAATAACAGCTGACGTCACTTAGGAAACTGTTACGACGCCTAATAGAGACGGATACAAAATCAGCAGCCCGTAGCAAAGACGTGGCTGAAATCTGCGACGTTATGAATATGCAGCTTCACAAGCCCTGTTTTTGGTAAGTGAACCATGAAGTATGAACTTATGATTGGTATTAAATGGAAAAAAATTATGTATAATGACCTAAAATTGATCAAATGGCCAAAGTCTAACATCTACTTGACTGTGTTCCAGTTGCATTATTAACATGTGCTGGCGGGTCATTCAGTCGGATTTCAGGATCTTTCTGGAGCAACTTTCCACCCAGACTTATGAGAAATACGAACTTTTGTTTAGATTCATTGTGGTTTTGTGCTACGAGCACTCTCATCTTCTCTCTCAATCCAGCCGTGCCAAAATCCATTTCCTCTAGAAGTGCTAACAAAACAAGAATTTTGAGAAAGCATTCAAAACCCAGTTCCGCTTGAGGTAACGGATCCTTTTTACACATAACTTTCGTGCTGCATGCCTTACTTTTTCATAAGAATGTGTGCCAGGGAATACAATTTAGCAAGGACATTGCAAAAAATATATAACATTTAATTGCTCTTCTGTCCAAAAAAATATCAATGTACCATAGTTTCATACTGAAAGAAGAATTCCACTGATGTTTCAAAAAATTCTGCATAATTAATTCATTGAGAAGTAAACAAAGTCATTCAGAGTGGTTTCATGTAAAATGCGTGATTATAGTGAAACTTACCAACTCAGATTTCTTTACAGTGGTCGTGATAGAAACCAGGGGTTGCAATGTTTGCAATTTATAATAAACCATTTTATTTGCTATACAAAATGACCTGTGAACCTCTTTGTGTCTTCTGAGTTTTTATTTGTAATGTTGAAAATGGCAAAACAGTGGTAAATCTGAAAAAAAGAGTTTTCTTTAGGGGCTATTTTAGCTTACAATGCCCTGGATGTATCTCTCCACCCTGAATGCATTATAAAATATACAATGTTGGACGCCAAAACCTCCTGAAAAAGTATCAGACAGCATATTCATAACCATTTTGTGTAATAATTCTCTGTGATGGAGCTTTTAGAGGCATTAAACTCTTCAGATGTCTGGCACATATCACCACTATTTCTCTAGAAAAGGGCACTTCACATCAAAAAAAACTCGGAATGACTTTGTTTACGTCTTAATTAATTAATTATGCACAAGTAATAATAATAATAAAAGGCAGAACCCCCTTTAAATCTCCATTCTTCTCAGTATCTGTTCTTTTGTACTATACAGTACATTCAGTGACAACCTCTAGGACCTGCAACATTTAAATAGCCATAATAAATAACCTATTCAGCTTGTTAGGGTAGAACGCACAAATGTCCGTATTTACATTCCAGCTGTAACTTCCACAACATTCCTACAGTCTTTCCCTTTATTGAAATGTGTGCATGTTTCTGTTCTGGAACAGAAGCTTATACATGATGCCACTGACAGGTGTAGCAACTTCATGACCTGTAGTCCACCCTGAGCATCCCATTGAGTCATAAAGTCTGTTTTATCTAAGAACTGAAGCAGGGCCCCCTCGTGTCAGACCCGCGTGGGGCTGTCCGTGTACAGGTCCATTTTGGCCGTGTGGAGCGCTGCTGCAGCTGCCTTGTAGTGGCAGTGGGAACTGCCGCAGTTGACACTAGGACAGGGCTTCCGAGCTGTCCGCACGGACAACTTCCGAGCGCACAAGCCCTGCCAAGTCTGAAGAGTCTTGGAGCTCCATACCCACACGCCACTGGTGATGCCCACCACTAGGGACATGAATATCTTTAGCATGAATACAGCTACTGTGGGCACAGAGGAGTCCAGGGTACAGTCTTCCGTCCTGCGCCCAGGAAATGAGACGCATTTGCTCTCCAAAGCTCGGAACTTCCAGTAGTCCATGTTGAGTCTCTCGTAAAAGTAGCAAATGATCACGCAGGTGGCAGGGACTGTGTAGAGGATGGAGAAGACCCCGATCTTCACCATGAGCTTCTCCAGCTTCTCTGTGTTGGTGCCTCCTGTTTTCATGATCTTGCGGATGTGGAAGAGCGCTACAAATCCAGTGAGGATGAAAGAGGTGCCTATGATCAGATAGCAAGACAGGGGAATTAGAACAAAGCCTGTTAGAGCATTGGTGTCCATGCTGCCCACATAGCACAGTCCGGTCAACTCATCCCCTGCCACTTTGCGCATGGTGAGGATGACTATGGTCTTCATAGCAGGGATGCCCCAAGCGACCATGTGGAAGTAGCTGCTGTGGGCCTCAATGGCTTCATGTCCCCATTTCCTACCTGCTGCAAGGAACCAGGTGAGCGTGAGGATGACCCACCAGATTGAACTGGCCATGCCAAAGTAATAAAGGATGAGGAAGACTATTGTGCATCCTGTGCTCTCCAAGCCCTCTTGAATAATGTAGAGCTGCCCATTTTCCCGGTCACACGCAATGTTCTCAGCACCAGCCACAGAGCGAATGACGAAGGCCACAGAGTACACATTGTAGCACATAGAGAGGAAGATGATGGGCCGCTCAGGATACTGGAAGCGCTGGGGGTCCAGCAGGAAGGTGAGGACCGTGAAGGCAGTGGAGATGAAGCAGAGGGTGGACCAAACGACCATCCAGATGAAGGCAAAGTCCTTGTCTTGCCTGGACCAGAACACGTCCACTGTGGGGGAGCACCGTGGGGCGCATGTTTCACTCTTCTCCACATACTGGAACTTCTCCTGGTTCTCACAGGACCCAGAGTTGCTGGGCTGTCGCCCGTTCCCTGTCCCGGGCTGTCTGGGCCGGGCAGGAACAGGCAGCATGCCCTCCCCTTTCTTGGTCTCAGGCACAGTGTCATTCTCCGGAGCCTCCATGCAGAGAGCATTAGGGTCATTGTTAGTCGGCAACTTTGAACAGTCCAAGGAGTCTGGCCAGCTAAAACTGAACTGTTCCATAACGGGAGAACACTTTTGCCGCGCCTGCTCACACATAGGACGGCACGCCGGGATAGTGGTGGACACCTGATCCGTACACATGGGGACATAAAGGGAGCACAAGAAAAAGCGGAGGTGTACATGACAGCCATACTCCACCAGAGGGGTGAACTCATTGAGCTTAATACTGGCCTCTTCCTGACTTTCATATTTCATGAAGTTGGGCATGCGTGTCATGTTGTAGCCGATTCCCTGGCACATGGGGATGGTGATGGGCTCGCATTTTGCCGGCCTGCCCCGCTCACTATCATAAGCGCCAATGTCCAGTGAGGACCCAACATTCACTAGCTGGCACCACAGTAAGATCACAATCTTCACGTGATACGCCATAGTAATGCTACTGACTCAAAACATCCTGCAAAGGTCATTAGTAGGTGAGGAAGTTTGTTATATCCAGACATATGAGGCAAAAAATCTTTCTGACAGTCTTTGGCTGAAAACAGAGATGCAGTGTGGGAAGAGAGGTGCTCAAACGTTCAGTGTTCATGGCCATACCTCTGCAATTGCACTCTCACGAATGACCGTTCAATCCACAAACGAATCTCTCTTCAAAACGTGGACGCACGGCGTTTCCACACGCGTGAAATCGAGACAAAACACTGTCTCGCGCTCCGGGCGCTGAGCGGACAAAACGACAACAAACAGTGAGCCGGTCAGCGCTGAAACTTCAACCGTCCATCACTTTAAAAGCTCCTTCAAAAGCGAAACCGTAGCGCGTCCTCCAGGCGTTCCCAGCTGAAGCACTTCTGAAAGTTCACGGACAAAGTGACGCTCGTTCCGCCGCGTTTCACGGGACATTATGCGTGCTGTCCAGACTCGGTCACGCTCTCTCGATCCAGCGCGTGGCAAGACTGAAGTTTGTCTGCTCCCCTCGCCGTAGCCTCCCAAACTGGGCGGAGGAAAGGTGTCCAAAAGCCCCTCCTCGCACAGCCCAGATACTGTATGCGTACAGACACTTGCTCAGATGCACTTTGAGACAGTACAGCAGGAGTAAATACAGCTGCGGTGCGATGCAGTGACGCGGAGATGAACCTATGTAGCCTACAAAATGCTTTTTATCATAGCACTGCCAGCTGCAATACATGGAGGATCTAATATTGCATAGCTGTCATGATAAACTGGACCAGATTACAGACCTGCTTATAACACAGCAGGGGATTTGTGAATATGATATGCGTTTGCATAAAATAATAGGATAACGAATAACCTATAATATAATATAATATAATATAATATAATATAATATAAGATTTTGGACAGCTATCATAATTGGCTGCACTGGAGAACTGAATTGCTTATAATATTTTATAATATAATATACTACAACATAATACAATGTAATATAATATTTAAAAAAAAGTTTATTTTGGTCTACATTCTTTTTAATAGCATTGCCAATTGCAATAAATGTAGGCTTTAATGTTACATAGCTGTCATGATAAACTGGACCAGATTACAGAATTGCTTATAATATAGTGTGGGATGTTTGTATATTGGTATGCATATGTATAAAATAAATAGGACTTAATTGAAAAAGAATTACAATGAATAACCTATCATATAAGGTAATATAGTATTGGACAGCTATCATAATTGGCTGAACAGGAGGACTAGGTTGCTTATGATGTCTTGCGTAGCCTATTAATTTTTATGTATTTGTATGATAAAAAAATAGGCAATGCAAGACTAAAAAGAGTTTCTGTGAAATTACCAGTATAATATGACATAATATACAGCATAAAGTTTAGTTTGGCCTGTATTCTTTTTAATAGCATTGCCAATTGCAATATATCTAGATTCTAATATTCCACAGCTGTCATGATAAACTGGACCAGATTACAAAACTGCTTATAATACAGTACAGAATTTTTGTCTATGATATGAACTTGTATAAAAATAATAGGACTCAAATGAAAAGATTGTCACTGAATAACCTATAACATAATATGACAGTTATCATGATTGTCTGAAGTTGAGAACTGCCTTGCTTATAATACAGTATGGAATTTACAACTTTCAAAAACATTTTGAGGCAACATAAATCACCCAAAGTGAATAATTTTGGTTTTGCATCATCATCATCATTTGCATGCTAAAATAATGGGCATTGAATACAGTTGATGTGATGGAATAAATAATCATGAATATCCAAAAATAAGTAGCATTGCAATAAAAATATGTAATAGGAATAAAAATAAAAAATAACGCTGGACTGCTGTCATGCTTGGCTGCACTGTTTGCTTTTAACAGAGTACAGAATTTACAGACTTAATAAAACTACTGAAGCAACCAAAGGTAATGACTTTGCATTTATATCATCACGCAGTTCAACTCTTCACATGAACCTGTGACAGAATACAGGAATTATGTGCATGTTAAAGACTTTCTTTACCTCCAAAGCAGGCCAGGAGCAAGATATCCAAGAGACAAGCTCCTCCTCAAACAGTCCTCATCCAAAATTATATAAGCATCCAGTCACTTGCTCTCTAAGACCAAGAACTGAGGTGGAATACATTTGTAAATAACAGGAGACTGAGTAAAGTTATGCGACATCAGTGGAATGAATAACAATGAATAACCATTTTATTTAATATCTAAAATTACCAGTGAGCCCATACAACTTTACAGGAGAAGGAAAAAACATACTTTACTTTTAATGTAAGTCAATGGAACCAGACCTCTTTTCACATAATTCTGGGCCATTTCTTTTCATCCATTCATCATAAAAATTATGCACAACATAAAGGGCAATAGGCATTTTCAAACTGTACCAAAAACTGAAAAACTGGATTTAAAATACATTTTAGGCCAAAATCGAATCTCAAAACTATCATAAAACAATGTTCCAGACATCATACTGTATATTCATAACTATTTCATGTAATAACTTTCTGTGCAGGAACTTTTAAAGGTATTCAACCTTTTAGATGTCTGGTTCCTATCACCACCACTGTGAACAATTCTGACTCAGTAAGTTTCTCTAGAATGGAACATTTCACATCAAACCACTATAAATGACTGTTTACATCTTAACCATCTAATCATGCAGAAAGTCATCCAGTTGAGATGATTTGATCCAGTTGTTGATTACTGATTCATCACAAGTCACAGGAAATGTGCTTGTAGTTTATCGTTTTATGCCCCATTAAATATCTCTGAAGCATTTCTGGGAGATAGAGTTGCTGCTAACAGACCCCCTTTTACTGGTTTATGCTTTATATTCTCCATACCTGGATATATTCTGCCTTCATTAGTGTAGACTGAGCAAGTTAGCAGAAAGCTAACAAGCTAACAGGCTAATGCTCTGATAGTAAAAGACAAACTGAGTTCAAGCCTCCATAGAAAGATTTGCTTACAACTGAGACATAAAAAGTAAAGAATGTTACTTATATGCCTGTTACAAGCTTAAAATGTCTTTATTTAATCTAGAGCTGATATTAAAATCCAACATAATGTTGAGCTCACCTTGCTAGGCGCTACCATAACCTACCATACAAAGAGCATTAGCTTAGCACTAGTAAAAAAAAAGCATTTAATTTTCCAATAATAATAATAATTTTTACTTATTCTCACATTTCTATCATGTTAGTTCTGGCCATGAGCCACTCAAAGCATCATGGGGTGTAAGAATAAAGTGAATAACACTGCAACAAATATAATGCAGTGCATTTAGTAATATAGTGTAACATAGGCTGGATAACTAGATTGCTTATAATACAGCATTGAATTTACAGCCTTCAAAGAACTACTGAAGCAAGTTAATCATTTTGGGTTCACTTGTTAAAAAGGTCCTGTAACAGTCTTGCTTGTAAAAGAAAGAAAAAAATCTGAGCAGGCAAAAGTTGTCCAAGAGACAAGTTCCTGCTCTGACAGCCCTCATCCAAAATATTGGACACGCTCAGTCACTTGCTCTCCAAATATAGAGGGAGAAAAAATAGTATGATCAAAAATAACAAGTAAGACTGAGTTATGTGATGCCAGTGAAACGAATAACAGAAAATAACCAATAGTAACCAATGGATGGCCAACTTCATTTGTACCACATCTACAAATGTAGTCTAAAGGGAATTTTAACAGTAATATCACAAATAATGCTGGTTATACAGCTCTAATTAATCTAGCACAGTGTCAGCAACAACAAAATTTTTCAACAAAATCATTTTATATTAGGCCTAGTTATTCATGTTATTTTCTCGGAATTGTTTGTAATAATTGTCTTAGTTTATTTCCTAAATAAAAGGCTGTGTGCATTTAAAATTAATAATCTGGGAGGTCCGAGGTTGGACCAGCAGTGGCATAGAATCAGCGGTTAGGCTTTTAAAGTCACTGGACCGATATATGCTTGATATCTGGGATCTGCTGTAAATATGAATACTCCCCTCCTACAGCAGCACCACAATAGTACAGACATTCCAGTTTAAAGATTAGAAAAAAATCCTTCAGATGATGTATGTTGGAGGTGCTAGGATATCTAGAACATTGCACAGCTATGGTGGTTGGCTGAACTGAATAACTGGAATGCTCATGTGTGTAATTTACAGCCTTCATACCTGAACCACTGAGGCAACCAAAGATTATCATTTTGGGTTCATATCAACATAGAGTCAGATTCTTAAAGTGATCCTGTGAAATTCCTGCTTGTAAAAGAAAAACTGAATCATGAGCTTTTTGTAAAGATCCATTTTTCTCCACCTGACAGAACTGTACTTGACAGAACTGAAGCCATTTGGGGCATCCACAAAACCAGTCCAGAAGACTGCTGTATCCATCTAGTGGTCATAAAATAAGCAGCATGTTTAATTCTCTCTGTTGTAGTCTACTGGAAAGACCACCAAATACTACTTACTTTTGGTGTACTAAACCGCGCTGTACAAGACAACTCTTTTCTAAATGGATGGGCTTCCTTAGAAACATCTACGGAATCAAGTGGGCTCAGATTTCGGGCTCCATTTGCCGTATCTTCTTTTGTGTGGTGGTACTTATGTCATTTCCATATCAATTCCTCTCCCTTGTCCCAAACACAAACCCAAAGGTTCAGCCCAGGGTCTGTTGGAGCTTCTTTTTCGCCCCCCATTAGTACCTGCTGGCACAGGCCCCAGTGCGGGTTGAAGGTGAGGGGAGCAGCACCTGCACTACATCGCCCACCTCCACCGTCCATTCTCATGCTAAAAGCAAGTGGAGATGAGTGCCTCTAGAGTGCTTGCGCTGGGGATTCATTAGCCCTTAAACCGAGCCTTTTGCCAGCTTGCGGGAAGGCGGCAGGCCACGTCGGTCACGTTCCTGCAAAAAATGTTGGAGGATCGATTCTCTCGTTTTTCCCCTGACGGGTCAATTTCCTGCTTGAATCAATGAAATGGGATTCCGTTTACCGTCTGTTTTTGTTTTGGCTGAGAACTGTTGGAGGAGGACTTTCCAAGTCCACTACCGCAAGCCTCCGCTGGTCGGCCGTGAAAGGCCCTATTCTTCGTGCTCGGTGAATGGGACGAAAATAAAGGCAGAGAAACCACATCTACAAGGGCAATCAGTCAAAGTTACAAATGTGGGCATTAAAAGCAGGAATACAACTTTTCCATGAAGCCAGGGTGTGTGTACTTCACTCTCTTAGTGAATCGCCTCAGTGGCCTCATTAAGGATGAATGACCAAGACAGCACAGCAAGAAGAACACGAGGAGCAAGAAGGAGCAAGAAGATGAGAAATGTTCTTGTGGAGCAAATAAAAGGCATTAAAAAAATAACACGTTTCAGCTCCAAAAATAGTTGATCTGCCAAGACATGTTCGGTGTCTAAAGTCTGCATCTTTAGTTTGGCACTGAAGTTATAAGGATAATGTAGCTAACAAGCAAAACCAGCTTATACTCCAGCAATTAGCAACTGCATTCCTAAATCATCCCATTCTTGCCTC